TATATATATATATATATATATATATGCGCCAACATATTTGAACACACTTGTACATGTGATTACATAAACGTGTTTAATTATAATACTTGTCGAGTAGCAGTTATATGTATCGGTTGCGCAAAGGAAACGATTTTGTTTTTTTTTCTTTTTTTTTTTAATGCTTGCGTTATATTTGGAAAAAAAAAACGTTGATCTATACTTGCATAGCTTGGAACATGTTTCAAGGTGGTGTCTCGTAAGATTGCGGGAGGCTGCACGCTTAAGTCTGACAGTTCTTCTATAACTGACAAGTGCCAAGATCTAATCAATACTAACACGTTGAGGTCTAAGGCTGAAAAGTCTAAAGACAACAAGCTAGCTCACGAGTCGAATGAGACGAGTGCGAAACGTTCCAAGTGCCAGGGGAGAGGCGCGAAGGTCAATAGAGACACCGCGGACGTGTGCATGCAGAATAAGGAGAGCGCGAAGGCGGCGAGCGAGAGATTCGATAGCGCGAGGGATAACGCGAAGGAGAAGGAGAACGCTTCCCCGAGCGAGAAATCTAATAAAAAGTATAACGCGAAGGAGGCTAAGGAGAAAAGGAACAAGGAGGACACGAGAAATAAGAATAGGGGTGGTGGCGGAAGCGATGACGGGGGAAATAAAGAAACTGCAGTGCCATTCGCGAGGAATAAAGAACAATTGCCCGATCAGGTACATGCTAATCTGTGTGTTACTGTTCGGTGTGTCTCGACACGCGATTTAGGCAGATTGTGTATTTTCAGTTTTGACTTTACGTTAATTTTATTTCGTTACGCCGTAATAGAGAAAAGCGCATCCGTTACGTTTTGCAATTAAAAAAAGAATGGCATCCGTTTCTTTGTTCCATTATTTGTTTTCATCTTGTACTTGTGGGTTTTACAATATGCATATACGTATGGTTTCTCTTTGCTATATAAATATGCATGCAGGTACGTGCATGTATCGCTGTTAATAATTACATATTTTTGTTCATTTAAAATAATAAAAAGGATCGTCTTTTGTATTCGCAAGAGATTTGAGATCTATATATTTTGATTTAATAATTACAAAGAATAATACTTTCTAACACTTTTATCAGTAGATCTGAATTGATGGATTTTACTTTTTTTTATTTGTTTAAAGATTTAAGAATTCTTTTGAGCCTTTATGCTTTTTTACCTTTGCCAACTTTCAATAATAAGCTGTTTAATATCACACCAATTATCACATCAATCATCACTAAAATGTGCGTAATAATTTGAATTTTCTACTTCATTTGTTATGTGTAGACAATTGTTTTGATATTTGTGTGTTCAATGAGTTTTTAACTGCATGCTTATTCATAATTAATTATTCAATAAATTTTTCGCATTTCCTTCTGTATAAAAGAAAATATGCTAATAAAAATGTACTTCAATCGTTTGTAAATACTGTTGATTTTTATAGTATACTGCCGCATTTATATTTAAAAAATATAGTATTGTCCCACTTCTGACAATTAATACTTCTGCCATAATACGCGCTGTGTCTATCTCCACATGTGTGCTAGCTTAATAAGAAACATGTGTATTGAATATTAGTTTCAAAATATGATTGTATCTTTTATTTGTATTTTTTTTTTGTAGAGTAAAAAAAGTATACATCTATATAAATATATATATATATCTTCTTTCGATTAAATCAATAATAAAATTTAATACTTTTACAAAAGAGTAATGCTTATATCAATATTATTAAAGATTATTCTATTTTTTTCCTTTTTTAAGAGAGAAATCTTTAGAGAAGAAAAAAATTTATTCTAATTAACCGATATTTCGTTTCGTTAATATTATTAATATAAGTTAGTGGAGATAAGGCACGTAGTTGTTTCGAATAATCAATCTGGGTGTGAGCTTACTTTTAATCTCGGTGGATGCAGGGAGCTCAACCGCCCACTTGCCCATTCTTGCCTGCGGTTGGAAGTTTGGCCAATGAGGTTGCGAAGGCTCGACAGCATATTAAACAGTCTTTACAGTGTGTGAGTACTGCACTCTCTTCGCTCACCCTTTATACAACGTTTAATTTTCACACAACCTGCTTACTAATTTAACGTTTCATATATTATTTAAATCTATTCTCGCATTTCCTTTCACATTGCTTCTTAGGCATTTTAAAATATAAAACTGATGTTGCGAATGAAAAATGAATGATGTTAAATGAAAAAGGATTTAAAGTAATTATTAAATATCATGCCTTTTCACTTGAAAATGTTTATCTTATATTAATATAATAATTTAATTATTATTACTAATACAATAATGCATTAATTGTAACAACATTTACACTTTGTTGAATACTTATATAATTTCCATAGATGAGATACTGGATATAACAATCAAATTTATTCAATATTTTATTTTGTCCTACTAATTGTACTACAGTAGAAAATATAATTTTAGAGTATGAAATTATTATTTTTCAGATGGATGATATTGCAGCAATTGCTGATGTCACAAATCAAGATGTTACGACTCGTGTTATCAATCTCGAAAAAGAAAATCAAATTATGCGGCACAGTACGTATATTGCATATAACTTACAATCAATGGTATATGTATTAATTCTCTATAATAACTAGCAACAATAAGTAACGAAAAAGCTCAAGTAATAATTTAATATTTATTTATTACATTATTTTTTTATTTATAATTCCGTTAAATATTTTTGGTAGGATGTACATTTGTATTACTTTCAATATATACAGTACTTTCAAATCACATATCACATGCTAGCAAATGAAACTGATTATAGTTTTTTTTATTACATAAATTATGTAATTATATATGTCGCACCTTAATTAATTTTAGCATGAATTAAATCTATCTGTATCTTAATTGTTGCTGTTATACACTTTTTTTAATTGTTAATCATTTTAAGACACTATGTAAATATGAAAATATGTACAAAGATGCATATATGAAGTAAGACAATGCTAGAAAATCAAACTGCAATGATTTCTTCCCATTGCATCGATAGACAATTAAATGGCAAGTGCAATTGAAAGAATATGTATCAAGACTTGAAAATCTTTCTGAATAGTCCTTCAGAGCCTGAAGAACGATATTGCCCAATTGACGCAACAGGTGAAAAGTATTGGATCTTTGGAACGTCGTGTGGAAATGCTCGAACAACGCTTACCTTACATAGCAATTTGCCCTGCGAAACCCGAGGGATCAGTGCAAGAGCAGAAGCAGAGCAAAGAAAAATGTGATGACGACGAAGATATTGATCTGTTTGGTTCCGATTCAGAGGCAAGTGAGCAAAGAACAGTAGAAATGGTATTTTACTTAGTCTCTCTTTGTCTAAGGCGAATGTCTAAGTTTAATCTCGTGCGACACAGAAATAAACACATACACACACTGATATTTTTCAAGTTTAACGTGAATGTTAAGATGTGCGAGTTTACATTTATATAAAATATTGTGTGACATCTATTATTTGGCATACACCAGATATTCCCATGCCGATTCATCCAATTATTAGCACTTTTTTCCACATTCATATAAAATCCAGTATACGTATAATAGTGTCCCTTCGCGAGTTGTAAATTATATCCCGCCTGTGTTTCAATAACTGTCGCTCACAGTGGAAATTCTTACTGCATCTGATTCGATAGGGGGAGGATACAGAGGCTGCCAAGATCAGGGAGGAGCGACTTGCCGCATACGCTGCCAAGAAGTCTAAAAGTATGTAACGCGCACTCAATTGTTTAATATCCATTGTCGTTAATCGACTTAACTGTATCTTTACAGAACCAGCCGTAATAGCGAAATCAAGTATCGTCCTGGACGTGAAACCGTGGGACGACGAGACGGATATGAAAGAAATGGAAAAAGCGGTGCGGAAAATCGAGACTGACGGCCTCCTTTGGGGCGCTTGTAAGTCAAGATAACATCTTTCGGTTTTTTTTAGTATCGTATGTGCAAACTCAGAGATGATTAAGGCCCATCCTTCTTTCTACAGCTAAACTCATGCCGCTCGCCTTCGGAATTCACAAGCTACAGATCTCGTGCGTGGTGGAAGATGACAAAGTGTCAGTGGATTGGCTGATGGAACAGATCCAGGAAATCGAGGACTTTGTACAAAGCGTCGACATTGCGGCTTTTAATAAAGTGTAAAGAAAACTAGAGCCAAATTACAAAAAGTGTGCGTGGCGGTATACATAGTCAAAAATAAGCATCGGTCTATGTGCCATTTCTGCATTCCATTAGCAGTATCTGTAATCGAAAAAACTTTTCGCACGCGCGTTTTGTCGTATCAAGTCAAAAAGATAAAGATATTTTAAACCCGTTTGATGTTATTACAGTCTGACTGTCTAAGAGCTTGCAAAATGAATGAAAAGCAAATTTACGAGATTTAGATAGAATCAAAAATCTTTATTGCTCTTTATGCTATTGTAATTAGATTTTCTCTCATATATATGTATATACATATACCGGATATATGTATGTACATATATCTGATGAATCGAAACATTGTTTTCACTGAAATTGAAGTTACCTTTTATTATTTTATGTTCTCATAATATTGTTATCTTAAATAAAAAAACATTTGGCCAATGCGATATATATACGTAGTGATTTCTTCAAATTACTTAAATTTTAATCAAAAACATGTACTATTCCTAGTTTCACTCATCCATAGTTGCTAATTTAATAACACGGAAGAGGACCCCCCCTCCCAAATAAAAATTGTGGACATAGCAGGGAAGAGAACTACAAAGTCGCGAACATTATCTACGGGATTCATGGATATATAATTCAATGTCCACGTTTTGTGGACATGGTCCAAAATAAGGTAACAATTGAATCGCGGGCATGGTACAATCTTTGATGACTACGCTTTTCCATTCCATTTAATGATTTAATATACGCACAATTATTTTTACATTTCATATTTTATTCCTGTTTATATGTACAAGTAAAGCTCCTTTCAGTCAAAAGCGTTTCGTAATTATAAAACTTATTATATTCACTTATATCAATTTAAGTACAAAATTTGCCGAAACATACGACGAGCACGGTGTAAAAGTTATAACTTAAACATTCTAAACAATATCTAATAATCAGTTGTAAATTGTAAAAAAACTTTTCCTTTTTTTTTAAACTTGCGTGAGATGAGTTTGAGTGGGTTTCTTTTTAATGGTGTTTGCATTTACCTCCTTGGTAAGACTACACGTTGCCAAGTCTTTTATTACAGAATTCACTTGATCTGCGAAAATTCCACCCTTCGGCTTTTCAGTAGGCCTTTTGAGGAACCTTAAACACAAGCAGTGCCGATCTTTCTTTGTTATGATATTCCTTAATATTTGATTTACATGTCCTGTATCCAATTTTTGGCCTTCTCTATGGAAACTACTTCTATCTATTTTACGAATAAAGCCTACTGGACGCTCATCAAGTGCATCTCCGAAGATCCGTCCAGAAATAAAATCAGTGGTCAACGGTGAGTTATCTGGCAAAAGTAATTCCTTTATTTCTGCGGTTTCTTTTGTTGCGTCCATTATTTTATTGGTCGTGTAGAGTGCGCTATGAGCGTATGTTGGCGATACAGCGAAGTGAGAGAGCTGTGTAAAAGCAAATAAAGCAGATTATTAATATTGGAACGACTGGTGCTGTTAAGTCCTGGAATACAACAGGTGTAGGAAGCCTTGAGAAATTGGGTCACTCATGAAAGGTTATTCCCTTCACATTCGACTATGATTGATCCATTTCTTAAGGCTTAAGGCTTCCTGCATCTATCGTGTTTCGGGACTTAACACTAGCTGACATAAACAAGGAATACTACAGTGTCGAAGGTGGGGAAACTGTACCTCTGAGCCACAATCAATGCTCCGTACATAATCAATACCGTGCGCCTGGATCTTAACATTATTGGCAATGTCGTCACGCAATGATTTGTTGCGCGAAGGCAGGACGAGCCTCTCGAAAACTGTATTCGCCGCATTATGATATTTCTGATTCAACGGAAGTTTTACGGGTTCCGTTGTGCCGCTTTCATTTTTACCAAGTGCATTACCTATATCATGAGAAACAAAAGAAGAGCCCTTTAGTATCGTTTCGTTCCACTGCCTCTCGCATTGCCTATCCCATGTCTCGTGAGCGAACTTCCGTTTCATGCACGACGCGCGTAATGTATCACTCTGTCCTTGTTAAAAATTCAGTGAACGACAAAAATAAAATGACACACCATGCGCGTCGTGAAACGGAACGCAGCAATAAATAAAGGGATACATTAAAATATAAAAAATATAAATAAAAACAGAAGGGGACGAAATCGGGATGACGAGTCTGGGTGGCGAGACAGAAGGGTGTTACGAAAAGGGTTTTCGCTTCGCTCGCGGAAAGTAAAATTAACATTTCTTATAATTTTTTGGACGATGAATCCAATGGTGCGTCAATTAAAATTACGTCGCACGTCGGCAATCCGCTGGATTGAGGGGGGAGGGAGTCGCGACTCGACATGCTTTGACATATGTACTCGAACACGTTCGTGCGGACGCACACCGGACTTTTCCGTTGATATTTTCGCGCTACATATTATTATATTAAGTATAGCATCTTTATAACAAATTCTTCAAACACCCTTCTCTCGAGGTTTACATAATCGTCCGTCCGCCACGTGACGGAGGACAATAACGTTACACGCGTCGCATCGCACGGATTGAAAACAATTCACAGGACCATACTTACGTCCGATCCAGTCACCCCGGTCGAACGGCAGTTCGACTTCTTTCATTAGATCGTCGGTACTCTGGAGACTCGCCATCTGCGCTATCGTAACATGAACGACAATCTCATGTAATTGTACACGTTGAAACGTTAAACGTATAGCGTAATGTGGCCGCACGGTCGTACCCACGTTCCACTCACCCTATGGATACACCTTGGAACATATATTACAATAATAATAATAATTGTAATATATGTTCTGAGGGATACACCGACGCAGTGAGCTGTGAGATCACCGATCAATTTGTTTTCTTGTTTTTTTCCTTTTGCTCCACAGTCCACCAGCTGATGGATTATTGCGCCTTCATTTTTTTTTGGAGGTTATGCTCCCCGGTTGGGGAACTTGTGTGCCTTCAACCCAATCCTTAGGGTTCTATGACACAGAGTTACTTATTCTATATAGTCTTTTTACTCTCTTACTATATTATTCTGTCTATATTGCGCCTTCAACCTTCCTGTGAGGTTATACAGCGCACTGCACTGCTTTCCTGTTCAGAGACTTTCTTCTTCTTGTAGCCCTTGGTTGTCAGATCCGTATGGATCTAAGTACCATAATTAGGTCGTACGTCCCGGAGGTCAGCGGGCTTGACTTCCAGGCTTTTGTTCTCTGTTTAGAGATCACCGATGACTGAATCAAGATTCAACTGATTAAAGTGAGGTTAATGCATGAGATAAACACAAACAGATAAACACATGCTGGAGGGAATCCTTCTCTAAGGTGGTGGGGATAGCCGACTGCGTGAGAGAGCACGTGAGAGAGCACGTGAGAGAGTGAAGCGCCCAGTGGCTGCGTTCAGAAACTTCGCCCAGGTGCGTCCAGATGTCGTTTTATCACAGTGTTTTATCCCTGTTTAACAATCGGTGAATAACAAGGATAAAAGATGTATGTACCGTGAATTCGTGAACGCAGCCCAGTTTGGCCATCCCCACCGCTCCAAGGCTCGCTCCGGTATGTTGACGGAGCATGACCTCTTGCTAATTACTCATCTTTGTTTTGGCGGGCGGACTAGACGGAAACCGTTGTTTCCTTCTAAAATTAATGAAAGGTTAAGATGTTTGTGTTATGCTGTGGATAAAATCTGATAACTTGATAGAATACAATTGTTTGCCTGGCTGTGGATCACGTCACGTTATTGTGCGTACATTTCAAACATTTAGGAAACCACTGATTTGTAAACATGGAAATTTCATGGACAAATACTGGTAGTGCGTTACAAGATTTTGCAAGCGTTCTGGTTTGTGGGAAATGGTGATTATATCATTGGTTTATTATTATCCAGATAACAACGTTAAATTATCCATTTACATTTTTTTATATATATTAAATACAACTATATATATATATATATATATATATATATATTTACTAATATATTATAAATACTGCAGTAGTATATATTTAAAATATATACTACTGCATGCTGTATTTATTATTTTAAACTTGTATTATTATTATAATACATATTATAAAACATATACATTTATAAAACTCTTATTTTGTACTTATATATGTAAATATAAAACTGTATACATACATACATATATATATATATATAAATTATATATATTTATATATATATATATATAAGTTATAAATATGTAATATATAATAATATATAAAGAATCATTCATTCATTATTTTTCTTTTTTTTTATGCAGTGGATTCAAACTAGTGTCTCCTGTAAGACTCACAAATTGTGGGCATTTGTTTTGTCAAGATTGTATCAAATCTGCAATGAAATGTGTTAAATGTGATGTACCAGTACAGCCAAGGGAAATACAATCTGACCACTTGGTATCCGGTCTTATACAGAATATCGATGCTATTTCAGAAATTATTCATAAAAGGTTAGATTAAAGAGTTTTGTTGAATACTGTTAGAGTAAGTCTACTTTAGTTTCCATGAAATTGGTAACAATGTTATGTTATCAAGTTATACATATATATTGATCAAGAATAATAAACAATTAACCGAGCGATAACATTAATACTAATTATCTAACAAGTTCCTTAGCTATGTAAATTTTTTGTAAATTGAGATTTATTGTTGCTCAATAAAGTACTTGAATAACTTACTTATGATTCTGTAATCAATATTACTTGTAATGATAATGATGGGAGTCTTGTATTAAATTTGACAATTATTTGAATTACACTCGTATGAATACATTGGACTTTATTCTGTATTGTCTTTGATTAAAACATGTTGAATAATAGTAAATCAGTAGTAATACACACACACACTGCGTGCATAACACTTTCGAGATTTTATCACAAATGTACTAATAATAATGTAAAAATTATTTCAGAGATATATGGGACACTACTACAGATGCACCTGGTACATCAGACAAAACGATATCCTCAGTATTTCTTACACCAAAAAAACAGGGTATACGTAGAAAGAATATAAATAAGCCAAACCCCAAAGGAGAAACACGATTGCACACCGCGTGTTTGAAGGTATAAATGTCAAACACTGATATTTTACTCCTTTGTTTAGCTTAAAATTATAATTATATACTACCTAAATTATTATTACGCATGTCAAGTATTATATAAATTATTATATAATACATGACAGTTTTTGTTTCTCTAAGAAAGTTTCCATTGATGATTGTTTCACAGAATAATATTAAAGAAGTTAGAGAACTCTTGGTCCAGGGTGCAATTCCTGATACAAAAGATCATGCCGGTTGGACACCGTTGGTAAAGAAATATATTAATGTCTTCAGTTTTCTTTCTTATCAAATTTGAAGTATAATATGAAAAATATTGCATTCTGCTTCTAACATTTCAGCAAGAAGTGGTCAGTTTTGGACTTACTGAAATCTGCGAATTACTGCTGGAGTGGAGAGCATCGCCCGACATATCAGGTTATAACAATCGAAAACCGCTGCACGAAGCTGCTAAGCATAACAAAATTAAAGAAGCTAAGTTGTTGCTACGTTATAATGCGGACAGAAACCAATATGATCAGTACGGCAAGAAGCCTATGTACGTATGTGCTTTATCGTAGCTGCAAAGAATGCATTTTAAGGTGCGATTTCATGCTGATGCTTGACGCTCATTTTTAGCGTCAAAATATACCACGTTGACTAAGCATCAATTTTGATCATGTGATCTGTCTTGGCGCTAAAAATGAGCGTCGAGCGTCAGCATGAAAAGGTACCTTTAAAGGTAGCTCTGATACTTAATCTCTTTTTATTCGATCTTGCAGAGACTACTGTAAAACAGAAGAGATGCGACAGCTTTTAACGGATTTGTCAACTCCGGCTGAAGAGGTATCAAACCTTAATCAAACGCTAAATAAGTCTATTCGTACAGGGTGTGACAAATTTGTGATTCTTGCGTCAAACTTAAAACATGAAAATCAAAAAATGCTCGGTATCGTGGCCGCAAGACACAAATTCAAAATTTTGAAAACATATAGGTACACAATCCATTCTTTTTTTTCGAATTTTTTTTTCATCGCATTTTTTTTTTTGCAGTAGGTAAATGCAAAAAAGTATGGTATAATCAACCTTTGCATTCCAGACCGTTGGTTACACATGTCATAGTAGAGACGAATGAGAAAAATAACACAACATTGACACTTGACGTTTTATTCGCAATTATCTACGGCAGTTGGCTTCTCAATAGTCTATGTAAGAAATATTATTCTCGTTTATATCTGATACTTTGTGACATGAATTTGTTTTTTCAATAAATATTTTAAGGTCCATCTACATAAGTCGCAAACGTAGATGTTTCTTTTCTTCTTTTTTTCTCCGCGTTTGCGACTTGTGTAGATGAGGCTTTAAATAGTTCTGTTTATATGCAAAAAGAAATGAAAAGAAATTATTATGTCTGAATCGAGATTTAATCAATACAAAATTAACGTGTAAGAACGAACTGACATCAAATTGTGTGATCTGTTTAAAGGGATTCACATGATGGCAGATGTGGACGAAATAGAAGATACAGATGATATGAACCTTGAGTTGTTTGAAGTTAGCGGCGTGCCCACCGATGGTACTCCGAAGAAATCGAGAATGAACACGGAGCGTTGTAATCCACGTCTATTCAACAACTGTTTCTTTTATTTTGCTTTACAAGCAAACACGACTTATCACATTGCTGATGTGCGAGTCACGAAGGACGATCTGATAAGGCTTGTAAAGGAGGGAGAAGGGACAGTACTCACCAGAGAACCAGATCCAGAAGATCTAGACGTTACGTCGCAAACGATGCCCTTTCACGCGAACGATCCGTCTCATCCTTTACGCAAGTGTACCCATTATATTATATATGTGCCGGGCAAAAGTGAACCGCTTATCAAGTATAAAATGCCGCATATCAAGACTCTGCCGTTGGTATGGCTGATTGAGTGCATCGAAAAATTTACTCTTGTCGATCCAGCCATCCTGGGCTTGTCCTGAGTACTTGAATTACCATTAATATGTCCTATTTTGTATTCAATGATATTCAAAAAGTTAAGATGAAGCGTAAAAATACGCATAATAATTTTCTATAGCATTAATATATTCGTCATACGCAACTTTTTTTTTAAGTTTTTTTTATTTATTTTCAATAAGATATTCTCGAAAAAGACGTTATAAAATTTGATTTATTGTAATTTAGAAAACTCAGGACAAACCAAAAATTTACATGTACATAAAATACGCAATTAAATATTTGTACGAATAAGCTGAATATATTTTGATACAGTTGCTATTCCTCATTAGATTTATATATCTATCCCTTCCAAAATGGTCTGCGAGGAAACCGGTTTGCTTCTCTCTTTCAATAATTTTCATTATCTTTTTCCCAGTGATAATTGCAGGCCGATTAAAGCATAGGCGCGTATTCTCGGCTCGTAAGGCGACAAATTTCGCATTAATTTAATAATCATTACGTCCAGAAGATGGGATTCTTGTGGGAGCCTATCAGGAATTTATGCTATGGTCGTGGGACGGTGCCACCTTATGCGAAGTGCGATCAATTCTGGAGGAAAATATCGTACGGTATCTCGTACATTTACGGATAAAGTACCGCTAGCCGCGCGCACGGGCACGCACGCATGTGTACGCGTCAGGTACGGGCGTACACACACCCGTGCATGCGCGGGCGTGTGCGAGTATTTTACACCGGTACACAGGCGCACACGCGTGCACCGGTGTGCACGTGTGTGGAGAGGAAGGAGGGAACGACGGAAGAGCGGCTAGAAAGGAGAACAGGACGGAGAGGGAAAGAGGAAGAAGAACATAAAACTGGAGGAAAATAGAGAAAAGAATTGAGATCCGGCCGGCGGCGCGAAGGAGAGGCGGGAAGATCAGAGGGGACGGCGAGCGTGCGGAGATGGGACGACCACTATGCCGTGCATTGGTACGCGGCGCATCCAAGAGAGATACCTAGATGATCAGTTATCGAGGAAGAAACGAAGAATGCATACCGAAGGAGAGCAGGGACGGATTGTTCGACTAGATATCGACGTTTGAACTCTCTTTCAGATTCAGACACCGACTCGAACCGTGGAAGATGAGATGAAATTTATCGTGGGGATGGAAAATTAAAGAGAACGCGTCGCAAACGAGGTAGTTCGCAGTTGGTGTTGCATTTAATTTGGCAAATCCCCAAATATTTCACAAATTTAGAATTTCGCGAGGTAGCGTGTGAGTAGTGCTAATTTGATTAGCTGAGATTGAATCTTTCTCTTTTGTAGGCTTGTTGCTTGTTCCGCAATTTGAATCTCAAGAGTGCCGAGTCCCATCCGTCGCGCGGTGCTTCGTAGGAAGCGAAGAAAGCAACAGAAGTCGCGGGCTAGCACCGCCCCTGTCAACAACCCTGTCCCCCTCCGGATTCACAAAGCCGGTCGACCATCGTCCCGTCTCGTTTCCACACCTTTCTTTTTCTTCCTCCCTGTTTCACTCGCCCGCTCGGGCCGCCACCGAGCGTGCGGAGGTGGGGGGTCCACACACCCTGACCCACAAGTAGGCCCTGATCTCTACCCAGTCAGTGCCCGTCAAACGAGCCCGAAGGCAGGCGATGTGGGTCCGCGCAACATTGTGAACATCGTTGAACTCGCCGCACGCGGTGAAGAGAGGCAGTTTGACACGCACGTGATCGGGACCGCGCGAACGAGAACAGTGCACCCACAATCTTGGCGACAATTTCTCTCTCTCTCTCTCTCTCTCTCTCTCTCTCTCTCTTCTATTTTTCTACTGTTTCCCCGCAATCGAAGAAACAAACGGACACTAGGCTCTGAGGGAGGCTGAAGATGATATTGAGAGCCGCCCCCGAGGGCATCGTCCTTCTGCTCGCGCTCATCGGATTAGTTGGTGCGCAGGATGATGATTCCTTGGCCAGTACCTTCCTGTCAGGTAAGAATCGCAAACTCTCACCGATTTATATAGATTGGCTCATGGTGATTTAATCTCGGTTTAATTTACTTTTTATTTCTTTCTAATTCTTAAAATTTAGAAGAACATGAAAAGTAAATTAAATCGAGATTAAAATCAATCTATCTTGGTAGAAATTTTATGCGGAACAAGAATACTGTGCCTTTCTCATTCAAAATTTGTAGACAAGGAAATTTATCATAGAGCATGACAAAAATTCATGGTTTGACTTGAATACTTCCTATTAATCCGTGACATTAAAGAACTGTTATTTGAGGTCTTATTAAATGTCTATAGATGTGGAACAAGAATACTGTGCCTTTCTCATTCAAAATTTGCAGACAAGGAAATTTATCATAGAGCATGACAAAAATTCATGGTTTGACTTGAATACTTCCTATTAATCCGTGACATTAAAGAACTGTTATTTGAGGTCTTATCAAATGTCTATACACAGTAGACGTATTACTGGAGAGATTCGATAGAATCGATACTCGCAAAAAGAATATAGTTATTGAAAGGATGGCATGGGCAATGTGAAATTGATGAAGAGAGATTCCTGAGACTCTCGTCGGTGAAGTTTTACGGCGTACATTTTATGATCTCTTACAGTTTATAATCATAAATTGAGTGACTGAAAGATGAGCGCTCAAACAATCTTCGGCTTATAAAAGCGTACGATCATTACGTTTAATATAAAACGCACCATGTCCGTCGAGAAATGCTTCGTTATGTGATAATTATGCGAATGTTTAATCGGTCGCTTATATGTATACAATTAATCTCATATCTATAAGTACCTCTTCATTGTTACACTTATGTGAAAATTGTTACTTTTATAACGTTCCTGAAAAGATTTTACACAGAATCATGTAAGATCATTGTCATCATTAATCTACGTGATTCTCCGTAAAATTATATAAAACTTCAATTGTATCGGTTATTGCATTAACGATCAACATATGACGCAAGATTCCCGTAACGGCCTACATATGTGCACTCTATCGGTACTATTTAACATACAATGCTTGCAATAAACAAGTACAGTATGCAAGTAAGTCGCGTCGTTAGAAGCTAATTGAGATTATATATATGTGTGTGTATGTGTGTTCAGGTCAGAACTTGGTAGTTTCGTTCAACCGATTTGCTCACCTCCCTCCCGACCCGGGATGGCGAGGCGGCGGCGGCGGCGTGCGATTTTTGCGTATGCGACGCACGTAATATACGGCCGACAAAAAGTTACCCGGTAGTGGCAGCGGCGGCCGACGAGAAATAGAAATTCGCGTGCGCCGCCGACGACGCGTATGCGGCGCACGCTTTTATATAGGTAGAATCTGGAAGGATGCGACTGCGTTCCACTTTTAGGAGTTGTGCAGCGCTATGCGGATGACGGTCGGATTCGCTGGCGGTAACAAGGCCGCCGCTGAGCTTAAAAACTAGGAAGCGACGCGTCCACGTTCCACGTTCTAGGTTGAATTTTTCTTTTTTTTTTTTCTTTTGCCTTTTGCTCAATTTGCTTATTATTCGCGGCGCCGGACCTCCGGTCAGCCTGATTTTTCGCTACCGTTATTACAATAAGCAAAATTAGTCTCATTGCCGTGTCCGCTCCGGAAAGCGAGATACATTGTAATGTTTCATCAAGAATCCTGATTTTCGCAAGCGCAATGTATTGTCTTGAGTTCATCAAAAATAACTTCGCGTCTCTCGAGGAAGGATTCGGCTCTTAAAAGCCTCATTGAACTCCATCTATATTACGTACTTCTTTCCAGATATTAATTATGAAGGCATGAAATTATCACCGCGTGCAAAAATGCGGGAAGTAGAATACGGGCTTTCCGAACCACAAACGCAAGCTTGAGTCATCTTGAATGCGAAAAGACCGGATAGTCGTGCGATCGGCCAATTCCTCAAAGCAACGGCGGAGAGTCAGTTTCTTAGTATGCGGATTTCCTGACACAAGAGACGAGCGGAAGGTTTACCCAAAATTACAGAAACCAATTCTAATTAAGACGCGAGCGTGTTCCTAATTAAACACGCGCGCACATCGCGTGACGTGGAAAATACAATGTAATTTTGCGAGACTGTTACGATAGAATCTCGATTCAAGTACGCAGTGCTTCCAAATTCTTCTAAAAGCCGGTCAAAACTATTTATATTTTACTCGCATATATTTTTAATGTAGTCTTGCACGAAATAGTTTTTATACTCTAAAATCGTAAATTTTAATATTAATAAAAATTATATAACATATAATTTATTGTATTACTTATAACAATACTTATGATAATACAATAAATTACGTAATATTTTATTGATTGTAAATAATCAATTTTATTTAGACGTGAACTTTTTCATGGCAACCTGCAAGCCGCGTATTAACTTCTTTTTTTATTATTTTAATCAACAATCAGTATACAAATAATGAATTTTTTTTTAGACACAATTTCGATTTTTGAATGAAAAATGAAAATTACAATTAAATATCGACATTAAAATAAAATTGTTATCAGCTTTTACGGAGTTTGGAAATACTGTCCACTCTATTATATTTTAAAAAATGTTTTAACATCTTAAAAATTTGTGTTTAGAATCTTAAATTGCTTTTTTTTTTACTTTTAGTTGGGAATTTAATTGGCTAAAGTTAGATAAAAAGTTGGCTAAAGAGTTTCTTTTAGAAATAATTTTTTTTCTTTTTTTAAGAGCTTTGAACAATCACAATTCTGTCTGTATATCTGTTATTCTTTTGCTTTGATGAATGACTGATCTTTTGAAGGTCTAACATTCTTTTTCCTTTTTATTTTTACATTTTTATTTTTAATCGGTATTTCCAACAGTTGCAATCTTCTTAAAAAAATTCTCGTCAATATGATAAATGTGTTAATCTCTCGATCGAATATCTCTCAGTGTCTTATTGACAAGTGTTCTCCTAAATTCTAGTTCATGGAATCGGCACTTTTGCGTTCAAGAAGGATCTAGTCGTAAGCACGTACGGCTCTGCATAATCGTTCATCATCCGAATCCGAAATCGAATTCGCGGCGTTAGACGAAACACGTGCGACGCCGAAGACAGCTATAATACACGCGGCCTGAGCCGAGCCGCTCATTAACTACCGTTATGTTTGTTTGGTCCGTTATGCCTGCCAAAGTGAAACCAGCCGGGGGAGTCGAGTATTATCCGTGCGAATCTCTCGGTGGGACCTGGTGTGGCATATCATGTATGACGAATCGGTACTCGTTTAACTTTCATCCGTAACCGACGCCGATCTTTAACACGCGACGATGCGAGGCACTCGGACGATTTAGTCATCAGACTCATCTCCGTGAGCGGATCATTGATGCGCATGCGATTAATCTCACGAAAGTTGCAAGCGTATACAGTTTAATATTATTATGGATTTAGGCAAGTTGAATGAAAATTGCCCGGGTGAAAATTTTTCTTAGAATCCTTTCTATAACTTTTCAAAACTATTATATTTCTATATAAATTTCAAAATTTTTTACAGTTTATATAATTTTTTTATGTAGAAAATTGTTTAGATACGAATTGGAACTTTTCAGAAATATTACACCTTTGTGAGAGTTACACCTTTTCTAAAATTTATTAAAATTGAGAAAGTTACACCTTTTCTAAAATTTTTTATACATGTGAATTCTGAAATATTTCTCCAGAAAAATCTGAAAAAAATTTATTTATATAATTTTTTTTTTAATTTGCATAAATTGGAAGTAAGAAAAATTCTTAAAAATATCATGAGATTTTATTTTTACAGAGGACAATAACTAATTTAATTACAATGAATTAGAATAATCTATACGTTAAAGAATGAGAAAGATTAATTAACGTCCATTTAAAAAGAACATAATTTAGAAAGGTGGAAAATTTTTAAGACAGTATAATATAAGTTAATTTAAAATTAATAATATTAATATTAATAAATTAATAATATTAATTTATAAAATTAATAATATTAGTATAAAATTCAGCTTCGGAAGAAGGAAGATTTAAGTTAACACTAAGAGAAACTTCTCTAATACTGTGATTTATTGAAGCAATAGGATTATATTAATTTTTCTATATTTTTAAGATTAGACATTCTTTTACGTACGATTGTATTAGTATTCACAGGGATCATTTTTTAATAATCAAAAAAAACCGAGATATTTTTCCTAAGTAGCTTTACATAACATCGGTCTCGTGGAATGTAATCTGACATTGTCGACTTTCCGGTTACGCGAAGAGGGGCCCCGATAACAGCGTATTAGTTCCCCGGTCGTTAACTCGCTTCCCACGTCTGTCAAGATCAAGCTCCTGTGGTCATCCTTGACCACTTTTGCAAAGGTAGTCTCGCCCGGTGAAATTACGTATGCAGGAATGCCCGCCGTGCGTTGACGGTGCCGCGACTGCGCCTGTAAGCGATATACAGTTACAATTAACGACTACGCGGCGGCGGCAGCGGTGACAGTTGTATGTAATTTCGTAAGAGGTTTCCCTCTAATCTCGCTGCCACTAACATATGCGGTAACATAACGTCGTCGTCCGGCCCGCGTCTCGGCATGCTCGAATCGTTTAAATTTCCCTTCTTTCTTTCCTCGGCTCGGAGGAGAAGGCGAGGAGCCGAGCCGGCTCTAACTGACTTTGGGACAGAATTTGGGACCGTTACAATTCCGATCGCTACCACTTTGTGCCTTCGTGGCTTTTACAATGGATCTCTCCTTAACTTCGTCACGAACGAATCAATTTTAGACTTGCATCTCAATCGCAATCCGAACTAATATTAACTTATATTATAAATAACAATATAATTTTTTTGAAAAAAAAAATATCAAATTTAAATTATATCATTTCTCTAAATTATTTAAATTATATCAATTTAATTTTTGTTGTTGTAAATATAGATAAGTGAATAGATGTATATACAAGGGTAATTTATGCACGCAGGTTTCTTAAATTCATTAACAAGCACGGCGAAGATCGCCGATTGTCCGGGAGTATGCGTGCACGCGTTGGCGACATTAATGTGCGACGACGTCCTCGAGGACGTGCAATGCCCGTCGGCGAGTATGCGATGCTGCCTGCAGGATCCGATAAATGGCACCTCGTCCGAAAACGCGATCGACGACGAGGAGCCGTCGACCTCGACCGTGTCCACAACGATCGTCAAGACCACGATTTCTACGACACCCGCGACAACTACCACGACGCTCAGCACGTCGACTTCCTTCACTTCGGCAAAAACTACACCGGTACGTTCAGCAGATTTGGTATTAGAGAAAATAAGCTGGGCTGAAAAGTGCTCTAGAAAGTTATTGCTAGAAAGCAAGATATATATATATATATATATATCGTTGTTAATAGATTTAAAATGGATTAAGAAAAAGATCATTTTGAATTATAATCCAGATTATGACTATAAAAATTCTTTCTCTAAATGAGGATAATCATTTTTTGCTTTCTTACCAAATCGAAATTATAAAGTTTTTTAATCAATGATATATTTTTACGTCCAATTATTATACGTATTATAAATTACATTTATTTGTTTCTTTCTTTGCAGGAGAGCTACAACGAAACGAGCGAAAAGACATCAAGTACGTTAAACGTTTTGCATGAAATATATTTCATTATAATATACTATACTTTATATACTTATAATGTAATATACTAATATTATAATATACTGCATCTTTTGATCATACCATTATTTTAATTATTTATTATATAATTTAAGCTTTTTGAGTTTCTTTATCTTTTTGCTGATGAAAATCACAAATTTGTCGGTCGAAATGCTTGAGAGGTACAAATTGATTTGTCGTACGAGATTTGAACTCAATAATTGAAGGAGTTAAGTATTCAATGTCAGTAATTAAAGGAAAATTTACTATAATATATAACTATACAATGGCTTCTTCTTACTTAATATAAAATAAGTATACATTTATTCCATTATCGTTTATAATTATAGAGAATATCCTAGTATTATTAATACCAGGATTTTCAGAAATTCGGATGGAAATGTATGTCCAGCGTATGTCTGTCAGCCGAGTTGAAACGATGATGGTGATTTTCAGTGAAGACTTGTTCGGGCATTTGCATGGCCGAGAGAATAGCCGACTACTGCGACGCCGTGCTGGTGATAGACACCCTCTGCAAGTCGGGCTACAAGTGCTGCGTATCCAGGGACGTCTTCGGGGACTCTCCGCCGCCCGAGCTGCTTGTAATCGACCGCTTGAACTCCTCCCGCTACGACGAGAAGAACGGTAGCGGAGCTGCCAGCAAGGTCTCGTCTCCGTTGACGACGACACGACCGAACACGTCGTTGTCGACGAGTGTCTCCACGATCGCCACCGCAATCGCGACGACGACCTCGACGACGACGACGCTGGCGGCTGCCACGAGGCAGCCACCGACGGCGGCGACGACGACGAGGCCGAAACCGGTGCCGTTCAAGCCGTGCAGAGGAAGGTGCACGAGCGGCCTGTCCGCCCTCTTCTGCGAGAACATCGACACAGACGCGGACTGTCCCCCCGACGATTCCGTACTGACGGTTTGCTGCATCAGTGAACCGCAAAAAGCGGTAATGGGATTTAATGTTTTATTGCGATCGGTTTATAATGAAAGATACGTTGTCGTTCGCGAACGCGTTGATTTACACCGGAAAAAATTATCTCAAAGCTATTTAGAGGATATTCATCATTAAGCGATACTTGGCGAGATTATCCGAAAAGTTATTCGCAATGATGTATCGCTTTTGCTTAGGAAACAACGACGATTCGGCCCTCCACGAAAGCTCCTCAACCGAAGTTACCGCCGTGCCCTGGTTTCTGCCTGTTGACCCTTATGGCAGCCTTCTGCGAGCGACCGAATGTGATCATAGCGAAAACGTCGACCTGCCAGTCCACCTCGATCTGCTGCGACAATACAAAGAGTCCGCCGCAGGTAAACTCACGACTCGGTTCCGATATTGATTAATTTATAAGAATAATAGTATTATATATTCTGTTTCAATAAAAAAAATCTTTATTAAAAGCAAATGATATCAGCCAACTTTCCGGTAAAGAATTTTTTATACAAGAACATATACAAATATATATAAACATACATAAAAATATACTCGAAAATATATAATTATATATAATTATATTAATGTCCATATATATCCATATATGTTTCTTTCCTTTGTAAAATTATTCTTTGATTAAAAAAATGATAATAAGAAACATAAAAAATAATTAAAAAGATAATTTTTTACATTTTTTTTTTTACAAAAAATCTAGTTTGAAGAAATGAGAAAAATTGCTCATATACATATAATCATATATAAATGATTAAAAATATACATATATAATTATATATGAACAATATTTTCTCATTTCTTAAAACTTGATTTTTTGTAAAAAAAAAAAAGACAATGCAAAAATTATTC